CCGTTTGTCAATTATTCCTCCTACTTAAATCTTAGTTCTCTCTTTAATTTAATTTTATTTAAATTAATTTAAAGCAAAAGCTTTTCATGTCAAAAAGTTTCCCTCTTAGGAAAAGTTTCCAAAGTTTCAATTTCGCTTTAATTATAGACTATTTACCAAACGGTATTCAATAATACCCCTGAATTTAGGTTCATAAATTTACTAAAACTGGCATATTGTAATGCTTTAGCTTTATTGAGAAAATACAATGCTTCTGCTTTTTCCTTATCGCCAAGGAATCTAACAAAAATAGCTCTAGACGGGAAATCCTTGGCCTAAAACAGGTGAATTGATTTTATTGTTAGCCTTCGGGAGGAGATTCGAGTTTCACTGCATCTTTGGTAGTGGAATATTTTATTGCAAAGAAGCAGAGAGTTGTCTTCTTGTTACCACCAAAAGTGAAGATTAGAAGACAATGAAATTTGGTAAAACTTTGGGGGTAGTGGAATCAACTTTCACTAAACACTATATTGAGCTCAAAACAATATGCAATCGTGTGATTTGCTTATTTTCTACATCAGCACTTATTTTTTTGCTTTAAAACTCGATACAAATGATTTAATAATCATCTTAATATCTACATTCTGGCGATTACGGTCATGTTTAAATCATCTCTGCCATTCTCATTTGGGTACTACAACTTGGCTGAAGTGGTATGAGAGGTGGAAAAGTATTGGGCATTACAAATGCTGTCTCCTCGTGAGGCTAGGCGCCAAATCATTGATTTTAAGGCCAAGGCATTATTTAAAAAACTTTATGTGAAATGAGAACTGAGAGAACTTGGTGTTACCTAAGTGTAATTATTGTCTGATTACTGTTGAATATCTAATTAGTTTGCTTTTCTTCAAGAGCACTATCCCCTCTTGACATCCTATTGAACAGGCTTGATCAGTAAAAAAATGTTGTGAAAGTTATGAATTGTCATGGAAAATTATGACACAGAGCAGAGTCATGCATAAGTACTTTTGATTGAGCTTTTCAGGACGAGAAAAGAAATCAAAAATGGGCAGGAGATAGTTATTTGCCTCACTTGAAAAATATCAGAAATATTCTGAGGGATTCAAAACTAGAACTTTAAGCAATTTCAAGCATGATCCTCCGGGAAAAATTCGAAACATGGTCCCTTAGGCACTTGATCTCAAAATTCGGTAGAATACCAGTTTCCAGAATTCTTTTAACTTAAATTAAATCGATCTTGATTAGTCCAAAATTAATCTTCAATTAAAGGCTGAACTAGAAAGCTGGCTAATGAGATCAGTGATACCATCTCGATACTAACATTTCCACATGTGGGTACGAAGGTTCTGATTTATAGATTTATAAAAAACGGAATTAATTTAGATGAGACCCAAAACTTAAATAACAATTATAAAAGAGTAAAAAAGAAGGCCAATTTTGCATCCAAATACTTTTTTATTCAGACTATAAGCAAAATTTTCAATTCGCCAATAAAAAAATAACCAAAAGAACTTGTCTTTTGTTTATCGGAAATTAAGTTTGTAAAATTTGCTATAAATTGCTACAGAAAGCAATGTAAACTAGTAAACTTGATAGTAGCGTTTAAACTGGGACAAAATATATGAAACATGCGAAACCTTTTAAGCTATATTATTTAAAATAATTACAAATTATCCAAAAAATGTAAGCAATAATATATTTTGATTAACGCTGAATATGCTTTTTTGAAATTCTTATCTCGGTTTTTCTGAAACGAAAATGATTTCATCCTTTCGCTCTTATTTTATAACCTCGATAATGACCTAAACAACTTTTGAGAAGTAAAAAATGGAACTGATTTCCTGTGCAACTGTTATTTACTCCTTTGTATTTTAGTTGCGTTTAAATGCAAATGTGGACTTCCTGCAAAATTCAAAACCTTTTCCAATTTTTGCGATTGACGGTTAGCAAACAGCATTTACAAGCAATTGAAGAGCAAGTCAATGCTTTTAGGAATTCGGCAGTTGTAGGTATATCTGAGCATTTTTTAATCTAAGACTTAGAAGTATGAGAAAGTGGAACGGTTTTTCAACTCTCTCTCTCCCCCTCCCTCTCTCTCTCTCTTTACTGACAAGCTATAATTTGCAACTCATGCCTTTTTACCTCTTCCTAAGCTAAACTTCCGGAAAACTTAAATTGAGAATTGAGAAGTCACGCATACTTCTGCTTAAATTTGCTCGAAGTTAGAACTAATTCTATAAACCCAAATGTTCCTATTAACACGATGTGCTATGATGCATTTTCTGCCTCAAGCTAAATTTTACAAAATTGAACCTGAAGTATGCAATCCATTGATTAGTCCTTTGGAGAAGAATTAAATAAAATTTGAAACATGGCAACAAAATATTTACTAGTGTTTTTTAATAATAAATATGTCCATTTTACATTAAACACCAGATTCCCTAGTGAATATTTAAGCTAAGATTACTTCAATCTTAACTTACAGATTCATATCCTATTTAAAAATTTAATCGTTATAAAGCCTGCAGTTCAAACAGATATTTGATCAATAATAATTTCAAAAAATCCTTCTTTGTGTCTAAAATTGTTTAATAAAGCTCCTGATTCCAATCTTCTTGGTACACTAGAACAAAGCTCATAACTTCAGCCCTGAATTATTGATTATTGGATTCCTACGCTTACACCTAAGTGCGTGAAACAAGTAGTGAGACGCGTACACTTTAATTACCGAGAGACCAAACAGTCAATCGTGTATCACCAATCCAATTATTAGATTTGGAAGTGCTGTCTTTTGTTATTCTCCTTTGGATCTGACTAGGTCTATTTTTCTGAAGGACTATGCAACCTTATGAAAATGCTACTCTACTCTTCCAAACGCATAAATCACATAAATTTGATGATTATTCCAGTTTTGTCAACATTTATTTACCTTCGGAGATTGAGATTTACGAAACACAGACTAAACGTGACAAATATTCTTAAGCTTCATTCAATTACCTAGGCTTTTTTTCATTTTCAGTAGGTTTGGAACTTTCGAAATGTCTAATTTTTAAAATGGGAATACATCTAATAAAAGAGGCATTTCAATTAATATAACAATGGCTTAATTAGCGAGTATTGAGTACACAGTGACTGTTCAAATAATTTATTTATTTGATGTGAATTTATGGATTTATTTCACTAAATCAAGATGTGACTTCATAACTTTGAAATTCCGCTTTCTGTTTTGAGTAGTTTAATAATACCTATATCTAGACGCCTTTCATTAATAATTGATTTTTGCTTCTGTAAAATTGGTAATAAAACCTAAAATATTTGGTGACAAGCATATCAGAGAAATTTTTTATTTTTCATTTAATTTTGGCTTTTCCTTAGCATTATAAGGGACGCACATTTCGAAATAGGTTATACTTCATATCAAATTCAACAAACGTTTAGTACATCGATTGAGCATGTCATTTATTGCCTGAATTTTGGGGCCGATTTACTAATGTATAAAATTCTGGATTAACCGATCGATCATAATTTAAAATTTGGCCTAAAATCATTTATATCCACCGGTTAAATTCGTATTAATTGAAACAATATTTTTACGTTACTACTGCTAATGGCAAGCTTTTTAATCAGGAAGGAGTTAAATATTTATGACAAGTCACAATCAGTTCTGTTAAAACTGACAATTCTGATTTCTAAAATGTTCCTTGCAGAGTTACATAAAAAGAAAATCAAAGTGCTTATTAGTATTATAGTCTTGAAATATGATTTCGCACACTAAACATGGTAACCTAATGTTTCAGTCTTGTGAATGCAATAAGTGCAAGGCATTTTCGCTATTCTTTAGAGCCAAACAAGTCAAATTAGGGATCCTAAATAAATGCCCAATTAAGTTTACAGGTCAATAAGCTCTATACGTCGAAAATTTAAGCAGGACAAGCCAATCTCAGGGCAACCCAAATGCCAAAAAAGTACAACCTTTGATGCTCATACCCCAGTGTCAATGTCAACTCATCTTTCTATTTCCATTGTGTCTATTTTTCATACAGAGGCTTTAAAAATGTTGACTTTGTCATTAGCAATTATCACATTTCATTATGACCCACGCCAAAGTGGACAAATGCTCGTTGCGATAAAATTGAATTCGAGTTAGTAGAGATCGCAAGGGAAAGGGATCAAAAAAAACAACACTTGAAGTCACCGATTCTTCCGTCCCTTGGTTTAACTGAACAAACTCCTGTCCACAACTCTCAGTGCTTTCAAACTGGTCATCCACCAGCAATTTACCAGATCGAGGATTTTTTCAGCATCAATTTGGCTAATAGCACTTTTTAATTGTTATTGCTTTTTTTGGATTTGACAGTGAGAAAAGCCATCTAGATGAGTGCAGTTGTCAGGATCGCATCAGTTCTTTAAAGCTTGAGCTTTCCCACCACTAGGCAAAAATAATTAGAAAGAGCTCCATTCGCTTGCACATGTCTCCCACCAACACCACCACCACCATTCCCTTCTCCACATTCCATCCCAAATTTGCCAACTCACTGTCTCGCGCTCTCACAATACCTACTACGCCTCGCCTTACTTCAGTGTAGGAGAAAAAATCCCCACCACGCAGGCGATCTAAGCGACACATCAAAACGCCTCTCCAACACGCTTCACTCTTCTTCCTAAAAGCTGCATCGCAGAGAGACAGTGCGAGAAATGCCCACGACTAATCGATTAACCCCAGGAGTAGATTAAATTTCACTCCCTCACTGTCGTTTATCACTCCCTTTCCCACTCACACTCGCATACAAACATATTTCTCCGTCGTAGTTACCTACGCGCTGTAAATCTTCATTTCACGAGACGGCTTATTGCTCACGCGCAGTTATCTCTCACGCACCAGTGTAGCCAACAGGAATTCGAGCCCTCTGAGTCAGAGAACCACTTTTTCTTTCATAAGCAGAACAAAGCAAACAGGTTAAAAGAAATGCAGTAAAATCATGATAGAGAAGGAGGAATGGTGTTTAGGCGATATCATCTTCACTGGCTAGTTCGGAGTTCTCCTCATACTGGAAACCTTCAACAGCGGAGTCTGATCCGTCCATATGGGTGGAAGAAGACATTGGGACATGCGATTGGTGCGAAACCTGGGGAGGAGATGAGGATTGAAAGATCGATGAAGTTGCCATCAGTTTCTCTATATATTGGCCTAAGATTTGATTGGCTGTACGGAGGTTAGAATTTTCTTCTTTCACAGTATCAACTCGTTTGGAGAGATCCACTAGAGTATGCTGCAGTTCAAGGACCTAGAGATAAGGGCAAAAAATGCAAAATTAATGACAGCGTTCTATAAATAACCAGCAGAGTCCACTCATTGGATGGTAAATAAAGCGTGTCAGGTTACCAATTCAACTACTAAATTGTTCAGCGGGAATAAGTAGAAGGCGCTAAAATTAGCCAAGCGTAGCCACTCACTTGTTCCTAGTCTCTATACGTATTTGCACTGACTCGATATACTTGGCTGATTTAGAGGAAGGGAATAATGGCGAGTAATTAGAGAAAAAACTAAAATCACTTACCTGACGACAGTGGTTTCTATTAAGTAAGCAAAATTGACATATATAAATATCCGATCTCCAAATCTCGGTTAAATCTTTGATTAGTAATAGACTCTGATAAGCTTAAGTTATGCTCCACCACCGAACAGGACGCAATCAATTCACGACCAAGTCGACAAATAGATTAATGATTTCTAATAATTGCCTGTCTAGTAAAAGGCGAATACGTGGTGCCTTAGCTTCTACAGTTCCGGACACTCACGCTCTGTTCAGTATTAAACTAACTGGAGCATACAAAGATACTTTTCGATCAAATTCATCAATGGCATGGAAGGTTAAACTTCTCAAAACCGAAAACAACAAATTCATTTCGTCACTCGCTAACAGGCTACGCCAACTTTCCCTTCGGGAAGTAACTTAGATATGATCTTAACTTGATCAATTATATACGGATTTGAAGGGTTTTCTGTCAAATATGCAGACTCGGAATATGTGTCCTTAGCATGTTTAACAAAATTCCCGACCAGAAAATACCTAGCACAGTTGAACTGAAGCACACAATCTCTAAGTTCATAAAAACTCGATGCGCAGAGATAGTACTTATGTGGATTTTAAGTTTCTCAGGGTTTAGAATAACTGTGGAAAGAGAACTCGGTAGAATAGAAGAGGGTGATTGAAAAGTATCTTCCAAGAAACACTATGGCTCAATAGTATGCACAGTTAACAAGATCCTATTAAGCATAGAAAACATCGGTTTGTAAACGAAGATAATGTTAAATCCTTCCAGAATTTCATACTCAGACACCTGGGTGTTGTATTGGAAAACTCAATTGTTCAATAGGAGTCTCAATTAGTTAACGAACGTGGTGAAGGGTGGAGGGAGGGAGGGGGGGGGGGGGGGGGGGGGGGGGGGGGGAAGGGAGAAGAATGCTATTATATAATTTGAATTAGAAATAAGACTCCATCAAGTCGTATTCAGTTTCATTTAAAGATCAAAGACAATTGATTTATTAGATTTGGAAAATAGAGATGCACTTCTCAGTTATCCTCTGTATGACAGCATCAGCCAGACGAACTTGGGAAAGAAAGTTACTAGCGACGTTAATTAAGATCACTGACTTCGTTATCTTTAAGAATATCCTCCAATAATTAGCGTGTTAGTAATAAATTCAAAAAAAGATGAAAATAAGCCCCATTTACACAACTTGAGCAAAGTTCTGGAAAATGCAGATTTCCTAGAATGTGAACTTAATGTGAACAGATTTTACCTTCCCCCTCCCCTTAGCGAACAACAAGGAAAAGGAATTCACACTACTACTTCTAGGGGGAACAGACAAACAGATAGGTGGTTTTTTTATAAGAAATAAATGAAAAAAAAACAAACGAAAATGAGAGAAAATAGATCAGAGAGCTTTATGAGGTTCTCCCAACAAGGCTTTCTAACTGAAATTATACGCAGTTCTCCCTATCTAGAGGATATCTCGGTGCGAACTGCAATGACTTTCCCATAATTACCTATTAACACGAAATCGAAATGGCCTGTTTTTATCTAACCAATCATCCAGAATCGATGACATGAGAAGTAAGGCGATACTCAGTGATTCACGATGGAAGTGACCGAGAAAGAAGACTCACTATGTCCGTGAATCAGTGATAAAAACATGAACTAACAAACCACGAAGATAATTTCAATTGGCGGAGAGAGAGAGAGCCAGTGCCTCGAGCACTGATTTTGAGTAAAATGTGAGAACTGCCAAGGTGCCGTCAACTTCGACCGACTTGATACATAAACCAAGAGAACTTCATATCCTTTAACTAGATACACTAACTACGCTTTATTCGTCTTAGCAATAGTTCAAGAAACCTATTTCAAAATTTTGTACAGATTTCATCCAATGAGAAAAATTCGTTTCCTACACCGCTACATCGATATTAGCAAGGCCGAAATGTGTGACGTAGATAGTATGTGAAGCCACCGACTAAAGATCTGATTGGGGCATCGTAAAGTGGGCCGAACTGCCAGCATTTTCGAAATAGGAGTTAGACCACCTGATGGGAGAAAGTTCAAACCACCCCACACAAAAGTTTGCAATTTCACAAACATCAAAAGGAGGAGTGTGAAGGAGGTGGGGGAGGTGGGGGGGGGGGGGGGGGGAGAAGAGAGGGGGGAGGTGGTNAGGGGGGGGGGGGGGGGGGGGGGGGGGGGGGAGAAAAGAGAGTGGGAATGGCTTTATAGTAGGGTTTGTTTAAAAGCTACTTTGAAAAGCAAATTACGACGTGTGCATATTGACTGAGCTTGAATACGCGTGATTATACACCTGATTATGTGGGACACATAAAAGGATCATAATAACAAACAGTCAATCAATGGACAATATTCCACCCTTGCAATATAAGCCTAGAAATCCTCGCCTGCGATTTATACTTGTGTGCAAGCACACAAAAGTAACGCAGCAAAGCATAGATCCGGGCAAGAAATAAAAAGAACACACCGGTTTCAATACAGAATTCTTCAATTTCCACCCCCCCCCCTCCCCGCCTCCCCTCATTCATTATCAAATCAACTTGGTCACAAGCACATTATCCGATATTCAATCCGGGGTAGAAATGAATTAAGCGATTCCGAAATTGAGCACATGTCAAAACAAAAATAGCAATAAACAAAACAATACACTTTCGTAATCCCATAAGTAAAGGTAAACCCGAATCTAGAAGACATTAACTAAAAACCCCCAGCATATCAATTAATCGGGTAAGCGCATGACAGCACACGATCATCAATTTGTCATAAATTGGTGGAAACATTTTTCGAAAGGGATTAAGACCGCGCGTAGCACAACGTGACATGAGCGAGAAACCTTGCAAAAGGCAGTGAGGATTTATGTGGTCAGTGTGTACTGACCGCGGAAAATGCTACACAGTCCGACTTTTACGACTTCAATGACCCAAAAAGTTATACACCAATGTGTATTAGTACTTGAACTACACGAGTTTTTAGGCTGGTCGTTGTACGGTTGCCACAGAAATGTGAAGCTAAAGATTGCAAGCCTCCCCCACCCCCACCCCCGCCACCGCCACTCTCCAAAAGGCTTAATTACTTCATTAGGGAGACGATGACAGGTTAGCGTGGGCATTCTTTATCGTCTATTTTTTTCTGCACTTCCTGGTTAATACCTCACGGGACTCGGTTGCATACGCACTCCTACCTTACATGCACAAACAAGAGAGGTCTTTTTTCCTTCGTGGAAAATGTAAAATTACCAATTTTCAACGAAATGCGGATAGTGTTTGAAGTGATAGTGCCGGTGAAATTTTCGGAGACATCTCTAGAGATTTGAAACTCAAACCAGGTTATTTGTTTATCTGGCCAGCTGTAACTAATTATAGTTGATCCAAATGATAGCTAGAGCGGGGAAGAAGACCTAGCTATCCATTGGCTACTCCCTACCACATTGAAAATTTGAACAATGGTCCATTTATTTACTGATTGGCAGTCAACTTGATGGAAACAAAATGAGCTCTTTTGCTTAAATGCTACTAGTTTTTAGTACATTAGAGGGTGGGAATACACTCAAATGATCGTTTTCGAAAAGCGGATGATGTCAACTAAGTAGCTTTTTACTTATAGAAAAAGCTGTTCATTTATGTCACATAAGTTCAATTAATAATTAAATGATGATAACTTGAAATCGCAGGTTATATTCTCAAGTAAACTCACAGTTGATCGACCACTGAAAGTTTGTCGAGAAAGAATATATATATATGTATATATATATATATATATATATATATATATATATATATA